ACAGTTCTTGATCCGGAACAGACAATCTTGCATGGCTACTTATTCTTCTGTTGGACGAGGATCTTGGGACAATTGGCTGCTGTCTGTCAACATCATTTGTAACATGTCTTCCTATTGATTTAGGATGAAGTGAAAGCATAGTTAATAAGCAACATAACATGTACATGAATTAGACACAATACATGTAATCCCCGAGAGAATAAAAGAAGATCTTGAATTTCCCATTTTCATGTATACTACACATATAAAAGATGCACATTCAATTTTATTTCACAAGTAATTATGTTAACATATATATACACAAAATCTATGTAGATTTGGTTTAACGTATTTTAAGAAAGAAATTGAATTTTTGAAGTTGGTTTTTCAAAATTACTTTTTGTATTTATATTGTGAGAGAAAAGAGTGGTGGGCACCTAGTATACAAATTATAAACCAAAGATAATATACATATAAATGTGATAGGTAAACATGATTTGAGAATGTGTAGTCTTTTAATAGTGAATTCCAATGTATAAATCAAACAAGTCAACACAAGAATTTTAGTTAAGCAAAAAAGGTGTGTGAATTGTAAGAAATATTGGTGAAAAAGGTAGAATTAATATTACCATGATCAGCTTGGTTGATTTTGTTTATGGAGGAATCTTCCCCTTTGGAACTCCAAAACATGCAACCTAGGAAAGTTCCCAATTTCTTCCAAAATCTTGAACCTTCTCCACTACTACTTTGAACAACATCTTTGTTCTTTCTCCCTCCTTTGGATTTGCCCCCAATTGAAGAACCAACCCTAACACCAGAAATTCTCCCCATTTTCCCTAAAACATTCAACAAATACAAATTTAAGAACAAAATTCTTAATGATGAATACTAAGAGACATGCCAGGTAATTAACAACACACTTTGTACTAATATTGTGTAAACTGATCTTGGTATCCTTCAGTGCTTAATAAGGTATGTGCATTAGAGCTAGAATGGTTAATAGAGTGCTTAATAAATAATAATAAATGTTATAGGGTGGTGAAATATATTTTTGAGAGATTATTTGTGGGTCCATCAACAAATATTTCCATCATGGAAGTCAACAAACACTAATGATAAAATTCAATTTAATCACAAATATTTTAAATATGATAGATAGATTAATCTCATTCGTGATAGTATAAGTATGGGAAACTTGATTTTTTTTCTATTACGAAAGATATGAAAGGGTGTTTAGTGTTTAGCTACTAGACCTGATAAACAAGTTAGAAACTATAACCTCATTGAATATGAGAAATGATTATGTGAAAAGAAAAATAGTCAATGTAATCAATGAATATTTGAGAAAGAGAACACGTTAACATGCATAAACATTAAGATGAGTAAGTTTTGATTTTGAACCCGTAATGTATTAATTAAGCATTCATTTATAAAAGTAATTTAAGCAATTACATAATAAATTGTCAATATACTAATTTAAATATTAAATATTTTTTCGGATGAATTAATTAAAAAAAAAAATATGAGACAAAATGACAAGTAGACAAAGATTTTTTAGAAGTATTATATGTTTCAATTTTAAGGTGATTATTCCATCATAATTTTAGATTAAGAAAAGAAAGTAAATATATAATATTTTTTGTAATTTTTAAATTATGGGAGATTTTTAGACATATCATAATAATTTTTTTTTAAATAATATAATCACATATATTAATCATTTCTTACAATTTCTTTCATAAATTTAGGAAAGAATATGACGCTTAAAAAGAAAAAGATTTTGAATTTAAAAAAGTTTGAGTGAGGTCTACACGTAACATGTCAAAAATGACACCACTTTTATTAAAACAATTAATTTTCATAAATTTGACAGCAGAATTTATTAAGATAAAAAAAAAAGATTATGAAAGTTAGAAAGCATTATCAAAAGCATCTCAATTAACATAATTCATAAAACAACGAAAGAAAAATATAAGAAATATTGGATGCATTAAAAACAGTGTTCTAAAACTATTTAAAAAATCAGATGACAGAATACATTACTTGGCTAAGGAATGGAATGAAAGAACACTGATGAACTGCATTATTTCAGAAGAAGGATAGAACCATTTCTGATAAAAGCACTCGTGCATTTCTCTGTCATAATAACTCGTTGGATGCAATTTTGCAGAGAACTTTGAAAACAACTGCAAAAACCATTCCACGTTTTCGTGTTCATTATTTTTGTATTATGCAAGGGATTCAGAATTCACAGGGTTTGGAGATATATCTCTAAATATTTTAAGATAAACTAAGAAACTAATAACTTAATTACTATAATTATTGGTTATAATTATCATTGACCAGGTGTTTAGTTATATATGTAATTTTTCAATGATCTTAAATATACTTAAATATTAATTCAAAATAAATGTGGTCAAGGTTATAACAGTAACACATGTAATTTTTTAATAAAATTTAAATTAATTTCTTCACATATTATTGTTTGGTCAATGGTCAACATCCTCCTCATCATATCACAATTAACTGTTCACTAAGTTTTCCTATTTTATTACGTGTATATGTTTTTATTTTTAATTTTTTAGAATTTTTGTGGGGGAGCTTAAAAATTTCCAAAATGTTGTCATTCTGATTTAGGTTGTTTGAATATGTATCGTTCACGTAGAAAAATGATCAAATGGTTTTTGGAAATTTTTTACTATGTTCCTAAACTAAGAAAACAATCAAGTACTTACATATTACATATTTTTTTTTTGTTTAATGTGCTAATTAAAAATTTTCAAAATAATTTAGGAAGTTGTCCTTTAATTTAACCAAAAGTCGTGTATTAATTTGATGTCTTTTATTAGAAAAACAACAATAAGTATATTACTGTATATTATGAAAAAAAAATTAAATATGCTTTTAGCGTGAACTTTTACGTAAAATTAAAATTTATTCATGATTCAAATTTTGATATATTTTAATTTTTAAACTTTAAAAATAAATAGATTTAATTTTTTTTATCCAATTACATTTAAATTTTTTGATGTATTAAATGTCTTTCAAGTTAAGTTATTGACACCATCTCACACTTTTCCACTTTAATATTAATCTAAAATATCATTTCACAAACCAATTAAATTTAAGAACCAAAATTATCAAAGTTTGAAATAAAGAAAAATTTCAATTTTACCTCTAAAGCTACAAAGATATTTAAAAGAAAATAATCCCTTCCCACAAAAAGAAAACATATATAACTTAATCTTGAATTTATTTCCTCTGTACTTTCTACACCTGGATCTGATGTAGGAAATGATTTTTCTTTTTTTCATCTCTTACCTGTCTTATTTATTTTTTCATCTCCTTCCTTTTCATATCTTCTTAATACATCTAAAGATATAAATAAATAGCCCTGGTTTTTCGGTTTGATTGTTTAAACGATGAATAAGGCTAACTTTTGTTATTAAACATGTTTAAGTTTGATAATAAATTAATTAATAACTATCTTATGTGTCTAGTTTCCACATTTCCTAATAAAATTTTATCAGATTTTATTTTTGCTAAATAATTTATTATTGAGAAAAGGCACATTAATTGTAATAAATATTTCTACATAATAAATGAATAATTCTTTTAATTGATATAGAGTTTATAAGAGAAAAGAAAAATGACACTTTCGCTAAGACTTTTTGTTGAGTTAATATACTTATGTGAAATAAATTGAAAAGTAAAGTATTTAAGCTCTTACTTATTTAATTATATTTATAAAATGTATGTGTGCTAGTTTTACATTTTGTTAGAAAAGGATATTTGTATTTAATCTTCAGATTGCGAATAGTATATTAAGTGGTGAGTATAGTAAGAGATACTAGGCCTTGAGGTTTGGGTTGAAATAAACTTATAACTAAAAATAAAAGAAAGTGATGTAATTAATCTAAAAAATTCCTTTCCTTTCTTTTTCCAAAAAGCAAAAAACTTTTGATTTTTTTATTCCATCTTTCTTCCCCTCTTTCAAGCTCTAGAACCTATTATTATTGTTCTCTTCCTTTATGGAACTCAACCTTAGTTAAAGTGCAGAATATCCGTACAGACTTTTTTTTTTCTTTTATTTGGTAATAATTTTGAAATTGTGGGATGTTTGGATTTGATTATGGAATGTTATGAATATTTCACATGATTAAAGGATTCTATGAGTTCTATAAAAAAATATTTAATCAATTTTAATAATTAATCACTTATTAACAAATTTAGATATCATTTTATAAACTATAATGCTATTGATATTTAAAATTGTCTTTATTATGAATAAAAATTATAATTTATTTGTTAATTAAAATCTAAATTGATCTCTAACATTAACTATCAAAGTTTCATCTATCAAAATATTAGTTTTTAATTTAAAATTAGAGACTAATTTAGAATCAATAATAATAAGTAACAAAAATCTTAATAACTAATGTTACAAATAATTTTAGACTCAAATTTACAAATTAATCATAGAGACTGGGTGCTGATAATTTTTACTTTATAAAATGATATTTAACTTAATAATACAGTGATTAATTATTTTTATCTCTAAAATTAATTGTTTTTTAATGATTCTTTTAGTATTCTTTTGCTTCATCATCTAAAATATCTAGTTTCCTTGCAAAGTTACCATTATCATACATGCCAACTTAGGTTATTATTGATTATTCAAAGCTGTTGTTATAACACTTTTTTGGATAGATCATGATTATTCATTTAATTATAATTTAGTAAATTAAGAAATATAATTAATTTTAAATTGCTTGTTGTCATGCATAACTATTTTCTACAATATACTAATAAGATAAAAAAAATAAAAGATAAAAGTACACAAATATCGAAATGTTATAATCATTCATAACAGAGGAAACAAAGAGGTGAGACAATGACATTATACTTTAAATTAACTACAAAATGAAATTGGACAACATGATAAAAAAAAGTTATATATGTACAAGAAAGTGAAGATTAGGGTTTGAAGAAAGTTGAACCCTAGGAGGAGATGGATAGGATTACGATGGAGGTGGAAAGAGAGGGCTGTCTTGGCCGAGTGGTGAGGCCTGAAAACGCCGTGGGACGTTGGGTTCTGAAGCAGTTCTAAGGCCATACTTGTTAGCACCGGCGGCATGGTTGGAGGGACCGACATGGATTCTGCCAAGTGAGGATGAGGGGATTGAAGGTGAAGGTGAAGGAGAAGGTGAAGGTGAAATTGAGGGAGCAGAATGCATGCCATCATCATCATCACGAGCCAGCAAATGCTTCAACTCACCAACCACTTCACTCATCAGTGGTCTTCCACTTGGATCATGCCGAAGACACTGAACGGCCAACCTCATTGCCCTATATGCATCTTTGATTGGATACTGCCCTTCAAATCTAGGATCCATCACGTAATGAAAATTCTCTTTTCTCCTTATACGAGGACGCAACCAATCCACCAAGTGTTTCTCTTTTGCAGGCCTCATTTGATCCACAGCTCTTCTTCCTGTCAGCATTTCCAGGAGAACCATCCCAAAGCTATAAACGTCACTCTTCGATGTAAGATGCCCTGTGTCAAAAACATTCTTAATCTCAACCATCAAAAGATACCACAAACTTCATATTAATATAGTTTGTACCTTAACATTTTCATAACAAATTGATGAGATGTTTGAAAATATACTAACCTGTCAACACATACTCAGGGGCTATGTAACCTTCTGTTCCCATAATCTCCGTAGACACGTGATTTTTATCTCCCACTGGACCATCTTTTGCAAACCCAAAGTCTGAAAGTTTTGCATTGAAGTCCTGAAATGGTGAATGAAATCCGATCAGATGTTTATATTAAGATAGTGGAATCTAAACTACATATAGAATATGAATAACTCTGCTATATTAGGTTATAATTATATAATGGATGTTGTTATTATCTCATATATTTATACATATATTTATGGTTTCTATTATATCCTATAAGACGGATGAAATATTTTTTTCTTTTTCTACTTCCTACATTCCTACATTCCTTTTAAAGATAAAATTGTGATAAATAAAACTTCAAAATCAACAATATTTCGGATATAAGTTAATTCATCTCAATGATATTACGAGAGATATTTAGAATCGTAACCCAATGTAGAGTCCATAATTAAACATTAGTCCCTTAAATTCTCTAATAATATATATAATTGAATAAACACACTTATATTTAAATTTAAAATTTGAATATTTATGAATGCAAAGTTAAAATTATTTACCTTATCCAAAAGGATATTGGATGTCTTGAAATCTCGAAAAATCACTGCCCGTGCAGCTTCCTCGTGCAAAAATGTCAAACCATTGGCAGCATCCATTGCAATTTTAATCCTGATACGCCATGGAAGTCGCACAGTTCCTCCTGATACATAAGAATATTTCTTGTTATTTCCATTTTAAATCCCTAGCATACAATGGTACTATATTTTAAAAAATGACTTAAAAATTGCATTGATTGATATATTAGAACCAAAATTTCAATAAAATTACAACATACTCTGGAACAGATACTTCTCTAAGCTTCCTCGACACATGTATTCGTATACGAGTACCCTTTTATCTTCCTCCATGCAATAACCCACCAATCTCACTAGATTAGGATGATAGAGTTCACCCAGATATTTAATTTCAGCCTGCAAACACAGATCAGTGAAAAGATTCAATTTTTACACTAAAAAACACAGTCAGAAATTATCAAATTGTACACCTTCTCTGGTATCATGTGGTTGTGTTCATTACTCTTGTCTTGTTAACATTTACAGCAAGTCCTTAAAAGATACAAATTGTAAGTGTAGTTTTCTTAAAATGGTGAGTCATAAATTAGGGTTTAGGATGATCACATACAAGCCATTGTTTATGACCTTGAAATCCATTTGGATTTAGAGTCTTCACTGCTACTGGAACCCTAGTTCCAGGTGTTGCTGCAGAATTCCCTCTTTCATCAATCCAACCTTTGAACACAGTTCCAAAACCTCCCCTACCAAGAAAATTCCTGCAACCAAAATTCTGTGTTGCAATCTGAATATCGTGAAAAGTGAACCTCCGAAGATTGGAACAAGTTGCAATAAACTCCTGCCCTTCGTTGGTGGATGAGGGTTTTGCCCTTTTGTGCCGAACAATATCTCTTCTGACATTTTTTCCTGTTGATTACATAGAAAACAAAAAAACATCATAGAAAATTCAATCAACAGCCTAAAATTGTACACGAACCAGTCGCGTTAACAAGTCTAATTCAATTTTGCAACATACACAATGTATTCTTTTTCAACCACAAAAAGCCCTTTTTCGATTTTATCAACAACTAATTCCATAAACATAAGCAATCGATCTTTTGTTTTGGTTTCTCCAAAGATGTAATGAAAAATAAAACAATTTTCAAAATTTATAATCCGGATCTTTTTCGTAATTTTAAATTTCTTTTTTCCTTTTCTAGATGCATATCTATTACATTCATTTTCTATTTTTAACTTTATTTTTCTTCTCTCCAAATATTCTACGTCTCAAGGATGTAAAAGGATTAAAAATATGACAATAAATCAATGACCTTGATTTAAAATCCTAATCATAAAGATATTATTTTAATGAACTGATTTTATAAAATTAAATTAAACTCAAACTTTTTTACCTTAATATAGTCATAAGTGTTTATCTTAAATGATATTTGGATTAATATACTATTCATTATCGGATCCCATCAATTTTTATATTCGATGAAAATTTAAGATCAAATTATAGTTTATGTGAAGACACAAACCATACCTTATAGGGAATCGATTTTATAAGAACTAGTGAGTTTTAGATCCAAATTAATATGATTGATTAATTAAAATAGATTTTGATTTAAGGTAAATGGACATAAGAAAATGAGAATCGGAAAGATAGATAAAAAAAAAGGAAAAAGGGTGAAAGATGCAATTGCATATTGAGGATTTTGAGAGTGTACGAGAGAGAAAAAACTAAAAGAAATAAAATTAATAAATGTCAAAAATAAAACAATGTAATAAGAAGACAAATATTGGAAAAGGGAGAACTTTAAGAAGAATGGTTCAACAAGTTACATACCTTCACCATCTTTGCTTTTGTTGGAGGTTGCTTCCTCTTTTGAGCTGAGAAGCATGCAACCTAGAAAAGTCTTCAATTTCTTCCAAAACCTTGATCTTTCTTCAATGGCACCTTGAGCAACATCTTTGTTTTTCATACTTTCAGTTTAGACCCTTAAAAAATTTCACACACAAATTTTAGCACAAAATTATTAAAGATGACAAGGAAGAAGAGAAAATTCTAGGGTTTTGTGATGAATGAAAGGAAAACCTTGGATATAGAAATGCTTGTGTAAAACTATCTTGTGATGCTTCAAAACTTAATATGAGATGTGAAAAAAAGAGGAGCAAGGAATGCTTGTTTATATAGAACCTGTACTTAGCAATGGATGTTTCGTCTTTTAATATAGGTCAATGTGTAAACATTTATTATTATTATTATTACCAATTAATAATATTAAATAAATAAATAAATTATATACGATGAATTTAATGCTGACATATTATTTCAGGGCCACTCGGTACTCTCTTTTTTTTCCCACAAAATTAAAGAAAATATCTAACTGTTCTATTTTTAATCCATTTTTAAATACGTTACTTAGTTTACTTTTCTTTTAATTTGTTTCTACACAAACAGTTTTCAAGGAACAATAAACACGAAAATAAGGGTATAATTGAAAAGAAAATCACGTTTTCTTGAAATTTTAAAAATGATAAATAAAAAGGAACAAGTTTTTGTTAAAATTATAAGGAATAGAGAAAGAAATTTTTTTCAAGATTTTTTAGTAGAAAATATTACCTGTTTTCTTTTTTACTATAGACATTAATATCTACATATTTCTCAATCTTTTATCTCCGATTAGGATCAATATATATATATATATATATATATATATATTTAGTAAGTAAAATATAATAAAGGAATAATTCTTCTAAGATCAAAATAAGTCTGATGAACTTGTTGCATTGATTAACACTCTTTCGGTTTTAAAATAACCCTGTTTTATATATAGTCTTCAAATTGATTGATGTTTTCAAATTTAAATGAAATTTATTTTTTCTAATTTGTCTCCAAATAAAATATATTAATTTTTTTTATAATTTGTAGTCCTTGAATTTGTTGAGAAAAATGGTGGACTCACTTTAGTACTAAAATTATTTTAATAAATATTGTTAATTTTAATCTGAAAAAACTTAAATACCAGCCATTATTTCTGAGATATGGAGAATAATAAATTATCCTTATTGGAATTTTAAGATGTTCAGAGGGTAAAAAGGACACATTTTAAAGATAAAAGTAACTCTCCAACATATATTATTTTTAAGACAACATTTATTATTAATAAAAATTACACTTTATTAATTAGCGTAAATTTTAAGTGTAACGGAAGTAATATATAAACTGTGCTCAAATAAAGTGTTAAATAATAGAAAAGTACAATAAAAAGTCTAAAAACAACTGATACACACTCGTCAAAAATATTAAAGCTCAAGAAAAATAAACCAGAAAATTTAATAAATGTTTACACGGTTAAGCAGAAAATTTAATAAATTATCCAAGATCATTTGGAAGACAGAAATTTGAACAATTTCCTAGTCAATATTAAAGTAATTTTTAACTATAATAACACATAAATTTAAATTTAAATAAAAACAAAAAAAATATGTAATTTGGATTATATTAAACGAAGAAAAATTAAACATTTTTCTCAGTTTAGATGAAAAATTATTAAACAATATTAGAGAGAGCATATGTAGAGCATTTGTTTTGACTGATTCAAGTGAAACGCTGATTTCCAAAAGAGATTTTGGGCGTTATGCATGAAAAAGTAGAAAGATGACTTGAGAAAATGGAAATAATGAATGAAACACTTAAAGAATCATAAAAACGCAATTAATGCTTCTCAAATGCAAAAAAAAATTGTCATAAATTCAGTTTCATAAGATGACGTTGAGTGAAGAGGAACATTGTTGGAAGAAGAGTAGAGAATGGGAAATTTTTTAATGATAATAATCGCCAAAATTTCTTGAATATAAAATATTAAATTATTTGTAAACATTAAGGCGGTGGAAAGGATAATTTTATTTTTTAAAGTTTTAAAATATAAAATTATTTTAAATAAATTTTTTTATCAACAATAATAAATATATTAAAAAGGATGATTGATTACCTCAACCCATATACAAATATATTAACAAATGAATTTGAAATGATTCAATGATAGAATTCACTTGATCAATTCTAAGTTTATATTATCTATTTTTAAGTTTTTTTAATAAATAAATAGTGCTAGGGTTAGATTAATATTAATACAATTTTTTGATGATAAATGTAACATCCCAAAAATACAGTATAAACCATATACGAGAATAATCACATATTAATAATACTTCAGTTTTACACATAAAGAGATACTATTATGGCCGAATGGCCTTACATAATAGTAGGGAATTAAAACCGCACACTGGCTACAACTAGACCGAACGGTTTACAAAATAAACTTATACCGAACTGTCCTACAAAAGAAGAGGCCAACAACTAACCGAATGCTCCTAAGGTTCGGCCTTCACTTCCACCTCTTCCAGTGCTTCTTTCAGCAACTCTTCTCCTTCTGCTCACATCCACACGGATGATCATTGCAACAGGACAACAACCGAACGCACAACACAGACAAAATGATAAATAGGGTAAGCTTATGTAATTTAATTGATTCAATAAAACATACAATTTTCGTGATTAAATCAAACAACAACCAAATCATAATTCATACACCATAGCATGCAAAGACCGACAACTTGACTCTAATTGTCCGGACTGTATGAATCCTGTGTAGCTACGACGTTTGTGCACCCGGGTGATGTAGTAATTGGGATACCCTCAACAGCTGTTACCCGAGGTTAATCCGTTCCGTCCAAGTTAACCTTATGGACTAGGACCTCCTGCCATTCCCACACATGACGTACTCCTCTCTACGTGAGAATGAGTAATCACGGAATATCAGGATAAACGTCCGTTAAGCTTTGCCCACATTCATACTTTACCAATCAATAACCACTTTCTAAGACATTCCTCCCTAGAGTATTCTTTCATAACCAAACTATTTCATTCGCATCACATTTCAAATTCTCTTATACTTCATCATCAATATATTCAACTGAAATAAGATCACACTTTCTCATCATAGCACAAGTCCGACTGGAATAACACTTCTTAGAAACTAACATGACCGAGTACTATTTACGAATTTATCCACTTCAATAAACAAACCCCTAAGAGTTCAAACCGGACGCCACGAAGCCTAGGCCGAGTACTAAGACTCTAGGCCGAACACCTTTTAAAGACCAACACTGTTTGACACTCAATACTAATAACTTATGAGAAACTATAAAGTAACGAACACTATTGAGTTTGGCTGAAGACTCTTATTCTAAAAACGGTAATAATAGATTACTGAAATGAGACCGAGTGCTTGGTTTAAGACCGAGCCCTGTAGAAATCGAACACTATTAAACGAGCGTTGGTCCAAGACCAAGTACTTATCAAGAACGAACGCTATTGAGATCGAACGCTTGGTCAAAGACCGAGCACTACTAAACTTGCACAATGAATGAATATATATATATATATATATATATATATATATA